AGAGGGCAGATTATTGGCCCTCACCTGTATCACTTGTATCAATTGTATCACTATCCACCACAGAGGCTTGCAGGGCCTCTTTGTCAAACCACCTCAAAGTACATATAAGTCCATATCCTCACTGTAATTATCACTATCACTGACTTGGGCCGGCTGTGGTGGGTGGCGGGTGAAGAACTCGGTAATGTTTTGATGACTGGGCGACCTTGTGCGCATCGTGCCCGCGCCACTTCCCGCGTATATGAGTAGATGAACCGCGTTAAGTGAAAATTCGGTTCTGGCGAGGCACCCCGTATATGAGAAATCGCGTTAAGTGAAACCGCGTAAAGCGGGGTAATATTGTATACTGTATAGGGTTTGGCAGGTGTGATGTGACTTAGGTGGGGTGAGGGCAGTGCAATTTATCTGCCACCGAGCACCCACCTCAGACATACACACCAACCCAGCGTCAGCTTGCCTGGTGAAGGAGTGGTTTACACTACTGTACTGTTCAAAAGCAATCTCAATTTCTTGGTTATTTCATCAATATTCCTTTACTTACAATGGCACCTACACATAATGCATTTGAAAGTTATAATCTATCATTACATTTGCTATAATTTAATTGTTTTGATATTTATAATTATTGCCTCTAATTTTTATATGATTCAAGATCAAGTTGATTTCGGATACTATATTAAGATGAGTTATATCAAGTTAGTACAAGTTAGGTAAATACTGTAAAGGTTCTGTTAGGTTATATCAAGTTATTTGTATATGTTAGGTTAGTTAGTCACATATCCTGATTAGAGGAATATGTTCATGGATACTACAGTACAGTGACCCTCGTTTTGAACACCCGGTTAACGTAATTTCGATTAACGAACTGCCTTCCATAAGGATCTTCAATTCGGTTACGAAAAAAAATTCGCGAACTCTTACGAACCGACCTCAACATGTTTTACGCTTGCACTGACCGGGCAACCAGCTTTAGTATCAGTCCGCCAATACATTAATCGGTTCTAGGGCTTAAATTCCTTACTATTTTTGTAAATATCAAGAAGTTTATACTATTCAATAATTTTAAAAGTTTAATATTCAATTTTTTAGTCATTTTAACAATTATTGAACAAATTGAAGGTAAAGTGACTAGTTTAATGCGCGGCATCCAGCCTCTTAACACAGCAAACAGGCGTTCAGTCTCTCTCTGTTTTCACTGGAGGTAACATCTTGCTTGAGACTCTCTTCAACTAAATGCTTTTTTTCTGTGTTTCCAAGCAAATTATTGGTCATTTTGAAATATATTTTATATATTGACAATATATAATGCAGTGCAGCATTGATTTAAAGAAAATAATCTTGAATTAAACCAGAGAGCTAAAATTTTATGGGTGAAATGGCACCATGGGGTGACTTCTCTTCCACCCCAATGCCTTCTCTTCTTCCTTCTCCTCCACCCCCATTCTAAATCCCATCATCATCATCATCATCCAGGAGCCTTCTACATACACACCTCAAAGTAAGTGAACTTTTCTACCATTTTTGTTGAATTTAGGAAATTTTCGGTGAGCTGGAACCAATTACCCAAAAACCCATTGAAACAATGGTTTCGGTTAACGAACGTTTCGGTTAACGAACGACCTTCTGGAACGGATTGAGTTAGGTTAACCGAGGAGCCACTGTACAGTGAAATGAAATAAAGTTAGCCTAACCTGGAGTGGGAGGGGAGTACAGTACCAAAATAATCATAATACTGTAATGGAATTTCCACTGTTCTGGGGCATCTGATGCAATAATTAGTTTTATAATGCAACGTCTTACTGTATTAACCCTTACCTTACCATTCACACTATACATTAATACACACTAGCACCACTTCCTCTACTATATGCATCATCCTGAGGACTGCCAAGGCTCTAACCTCCCAGGCATACTTCTTATATCATTACCATTTTAACTATATTTATATCCCAAGAACATTCTGTAAGTTTTCAGACATATCTTGAATATTATGTCACATGTTACAAAAAAAAAACTTTAAACATTCCATTGAATATTTGGCTATTGTTAAAAGCCCTTCCATCTATTCTTTCTTTCTCTTCCACTTTTGTGTTGGGGTGAATCAGATACACACAAACTTCAAAATGAGGAAGGAAATGGCACATATGAGTGGTGCACGAGGTGTAGAAAATGTGAGGAAGGGCTGTAAGCACTAATGAGAAAATAACATGATTAATTTTTGCAAGACTGAATACACGCAACTTATTAGTTGTGTGTATTCAGTTTTTATCACCAAGAAATGCATTTTCTTTTATACTATCATGGGCCACGATGTTCCTTTATCAATTAAAAAAAATCCTCAGAAGTGTGTATTGCAACAATGACATTGCATATCATAATGTCTTTCAACATAGTGTATAATTACCACTACATTGCAAATCACAAAGTTCTCACCACCCATTATTTTCATGGCAAGCACTTCATAAAACAATGCATTTCACAAATAAACTTCTACCTGATAATGGTTCTTAAAGAACACCTCATTTACCGTAACCTACGAAATCCTGAAACAGAACGACCAGCTTAATATGAAGTTTCTGCAAGAACATGCTGATCATCATACTATTTATGTAATACAATCTCTTTTCTTGTAAAACACAAAACAAAATTCAAGATGATAATTTTTTCAATAATATTTCAGAGTACAGTAATGGTCAAAAATAAGAAGTTGAAGATTACTGACACACTGTTACCCCAGGAGGCACTACTATACTGTAAGTCATTATAGAAGAATATATTTTCATTGTACCTTTGTTGAACAAGCAGACAGTTCACTTCTAACTGATAGCACCTAAATTATAATTCTATCTGACAGTAGCTCATTTATCTCCAACCTTGTTATTATAACTTTTGCTACTTTCATGATCTCTCTACTTTTCACTGAAAGTATCTTTTGTAGGGAATTCTAATTTATGGTTTTGATACATTTATTTTCTTACTTTTCAAATGGGTTCATTTCTAATTAAATTGGGAAAAGAGTCATATCTATTTGGTAGGCAAGAAATCCTGTAAAATTGCTTGATTATTGTTGTGATTTGTTATTGCTGAAGTGTAAGAGATTGTGTGGTGGTGAGAGACACACCAGGAAAACTTTAGCCTGAATCTCTCCTTCACACATAAAAAATAAGGCCCATGAAATGCAGTTATGTTGGTAGATGACATTTCAAAATTACCTACAGGAACTCAACAGTATTCACAACAATTATGTCAGCACAAATATCTAACACCTACTACTGTTGTGCTACTAACATGACAGACCAATATTCATTGCATTATAAAAATTTCAACACGCTGTTAGCACTACCATCGTAAAAACATTAAAAAAAAAAGATCAAAATTATGCAGTAAATACCAGAATTGGTACCAAGTTATTCTATCAACATGAGAGAGAGAGAGAGTTGCAGTTCTTTTAGAAACACCATAGTCAGTAATACTACAGAAATAATTACCATGAAAAGTTCAACACCATAGAAAGATAATACTATACAAATATCAACGCTATAGAAAGATAACACCAACAACAGGATTGAGGCACAGATCATACACCATAACTATGATGACAAAAGTTCTGGAAAACATGTTAGTTTTCAGAAGATCATTCTTATACAAACACAGTAACTGTATTGGAAGTTGAGATATATAAGCATTACAAAAAATACACAACATGCACAGTATGTTGTTTAATAGAAAAATAATTCTAATAATATATTTTTTTTCCTTTTTTTTAGTATGAAATAGAAACTAATGGACATCTATAATACTGTGATGCCTTAAAATAGCCTGGGTGGAAATGGAATGAATCATTATACACATATTGGCTCAATCAACAAGGGGGGATGGGCTAACAGCCTTGCTTATGTATAAAAAATAAAGACAGGAATGTAGTAATGAGCATTCATCAGAAAACATGATCATATAGTGTTGGAGACAGAGGTGTATTAACAATATATTTCATGTGTTTACTCATTCAGTAAGAATCATCTAGCTTGGCATGATATGAAAAAAAAATTAATATGCTTCATTTAGTAACATGCTCTTTCACATCCCTGAAATATTTGTATAACATGATGAAGGAAACTTGAGGTGAAAAACTAGTAGTTTGCTAGTTCGCCCTCCCTGGCTGAAAGTTATAGCTGCCTTGGTCAGTGCTGGTGACTCAAGCTATTGCCTCTATTACATGGCTTCACATAATGATCCAGTAACACTTGTGTCACACTATCAGTTACACAAAACTACACAACCTTACTTATTAGGAGTAGGTATAATGAACCAGTAGCAAGACAGAATAATGCTCAGTGATACTGGACCATTGCTACAGCCAGGAAACAAGAGGGCAAATATTTAAAAGGTGTGCAGTTCTTGAGATGAAGCACAGCACCAGCTGCACAGCAACTGCTGTACAGCACTACACAGACAAACATCAAAACATGACACCACTAATGCTCTGCATAAAACAAGGTTATACTTTCCACTTACCATACATTAATTCAGGTGTGGAATTTCTTACACACACTACTGTATTAAACAAAAATTTTCACGTCTTTAAAACATAATACATTAAACATTTTGTATACCCGGTACTTGAAATTGTGTCATAATGAGAAGCTGATTAATAATGAATAATGTATAAAATGCTACTCAGCTTTAAATATCCAAACCAAGATAGACGCAAGTTTTACTGTATATGCTTAAATACAGATATTGCTATCTGTTAATTATGATCTATGTATCAGTATAAATTACAGACTCACCAGTTTATAACATGATGACCCATATATTTAACACAACAAGGTAATGGAGTGGATTGTACCGAGTAAACAACATATGGACTAACAACAGCAATGCGCAACAAGTACTGCTGATCTGTAACAGTGCATATACAATGTGTTTTCCTAAGTTGTTGGACCATTTGAGAAGTGAACACACGTGACAAAGGTTTATTATCAAAGAAAAATATCAAATGCTGATCTTGAAAATCTTTTTCACAGCTGAGGTAGGCCAAGATGACCAGTATACAGTACAGTATACTTATCAAACCCACTGCTACATGAGATAATCTGTCACCAGTTGTAATGGCTGCAACAGGAGGAATGAACCAACCGCTCACTGTTAAGGATTCATTTCTGGGTTGGAACATGAAGACTTGATGAGTATACCATGTATGGTTCTCCTTAGGCCTATGCCAAGAAATAGAAAAACTAAACTTAACACTGCTTTTATAATATATATATATATATATATATATATATATATATATATATATATATATATATATATATATATATATATATATATATATATATATATATATATATATATATATATATATATATATATATACTCATAAACAGTGCTTGAAGATGTATAAGCATAACTGCTCATAAATTTAGTTACTGTAGTATAAGGAGAGCACAGCTCTTTTATGATTTAAACAAACAGCCAGAAACAGAAACAGTCTGAGAAGCTAACAATTACATCACAAGTATAGGGCACTGCCGTTCAGCATCATGTGCTGACCTAAATTATATACAGTACACCTCAATAATTGTTGTATTATGTGAAATGAATATAAAAACTAAGGACTGATCAGCTACTCTCATAATGGCAGCCACAATAATTGTTCCTTGGTCATTTCCAAGAAAACATTTTGCAACTATTCAAAAGTGTTCTTCTTGAAAAATTAAAATGGAGATGTGTTAACTACATCCAAGACAACCCAATAATAAGTTACTGGCAACATAACAGTTACTGACCATATAATATTTAAAACTATAAAATGTGACAAGATGATGTTATGGAAACTGGTGGTTGAGACTGGCCACTATGACAGTGCTACACAATATAATATCTGCACAGTGTTGTCACCTGGAGAAGATGGTGACACACATACAGATATAGGACATGATCAATATTATTAAGCAATACCCATGATAATGGGTAAGGAGCCTTAAAACAGGCATACTTAATATTCTGATATACATTTAATTAGTACAAGTAGTACCGGAAAATAAAAAAGTGCTGAAAATAAGAAAACATATTAAGAAATTTATAGCCGACAGTATCCATTTGCATAACTGGCTGAAGCCTTCACATAATAATAGAGAAGGCAACAGTACTATAAAACCATGACTAGCCTAGCTTTATTATTTAATGCTTATAGCATATCAATACTATCAAGTACAATACAGTATATAAAACACAGTCATCCCATACAAATGTGATGACTATTTCACAAGAGAATGTTTAAGAACTATAACATCACTCTCACTGTCAATAACATACCAAAGCCATGTGATTCATTCTGTAGACAATCACAAACATGAAAAATAACAAAAAATAAATCAAATTCTGTGTATGTTTCAGCGAGACTAAATTCACAGTCATATTTGCAAACTCCCTTTTTAAATGTAACAAGAATAAAATGGAATTAACAGAAAGATATATTAAAAAAAGTGTCACTTCAATAAAAACCGAGGAGGGAAGTTTCGGCTGGTTATACCTGACTAGTAGAACTTGTATTAAATCAATCAGTTCTGTCTGGCTGCCCATCAAGGACAAAACATACGCAGCCTCCTACAACAAGTAATACATGTACTTATATAATACTGAGTTGTTATAAATCCTGTAATGGAAAAATATCATTAGACCAATACAAAAATAAAAAATAAAATAAATCATACACAAAAACTGGCAAAGTAACACAATAAAAACATCTTGATCACTGTTTGAAGGAAGCGTAAGGCCTCACCATTCAAAACCTACTCGACCAAAATCATATCAACAAACCAGAGACAAAGTAATGGCAATAAACTCTTGATTGTTTTACATTTGTGAGTTAGTTTATTACCCCTCGTGTAACTAATACCCACACAAATATAACGAGAGAGCTTTAATGGTGGTTAAAAATAGAATGGAGCTCTTCAGTACCCAACAAAAGCTCGAGAGACAATTGTTGATCAAAGCATTAAAGCTAAAATTTGGCATAAGTCTCAGTATCTTTAAAAGAAATGAAAAGTTTTATGTCAAACCGATAACACTCTAGTCCAATTACCTGCACTCTAGGTTGTCTTAAAGACATGGTTGTTCGTCGATTGGTTTATAGTTTGGTAGAATTATTCAAAGGTAATGGCCAAGTAGGAACCACATCCTCGTGACCTGAATGGCGCTGGTTGAGAACAATTAGACTGAGTTGCCATATCCAAAGTAATAATGAATTAGACACTTTTATTAGCTTCCTTTTTTCTTTAGCTTACCCTTGGATACAGAAGACCTATATTAGGATACAGTGCAGTACAGTATACTGTATCTTGAATCATATCTTAAAAATTCTTTTATAAAATTTGTGGCATTAAGAAGTGACAATTCCAATCTGGCTTCAACAAGATATGAGCAACAGAAAGTAATGTACCACTGTCACACTTGCTTCAGACTGAATAAAATCATGTTTCAAGTCTCATTTCCTCGACTATTTAGTTTCCAAAGTAGAATCCTTATACGAACAAATTTAAAAGTGCTAAGCATATCAAGAGTGCATGAGTTCTGCAGCATCTCTTCATACAACGTTAGATACTCTACATTAAAATGGTATCAGGAGCTTCATTCAGTAATAATACTTTTTTACTGTGAAAGTTCATTAATATTAAGCGAGAGGGAGAAGTTCATGCTTTTGTTAAATAAAATTCAACACAATCTTGTTTGTACGAAGGTTCCAAATGGATCACATATTTCTGTACAGCTAGACGATCATATCTGACTTACCGGTAACACACTCTTCCATCTTTAACCGTGGGACTTACTCTCTTTAATTTCCCTGATGCCCTGCTGGATACGCTTTATGTGGCCAATCTTAGTTATACCTAACTCCTTGAGGTCTCTGAAAGAAATAAGAAAATTTGAGGATTGGTTCTGATATTTCAATTTAAAGTTCAATATTAAGTAGAGTGAGGATATGTGGTCACTTGGTCATTGGATTAAGACCCAGGAGATCTTGGTGTGAGTGGTTAAGGCTAGTCTGAATTAGGAGTAAACTTCCCTAACTAATACTACAGCCCTAAACACCAGTATTCAGAAATAATCTTTACCCTCATGGACAGTAGTGGCAAGAGGTTGAAAATTCCTCCTTTAATCTTTTAATAATCACAATTCGCTTTTATAATCACAAATCTCACCTACATCCCAAGGTTTACCACAGTGCTGTTTCAAGTACTTAGCCTGTTAGCACCTGTTCAAGGACTGACCACTAAACACAATAAAATGATTCTGCACTAACTTATATTAGTGTGGATACTGTACCATATAAATAATTTCCTCCCCAACAAGTGTATATTAAAATGTGTCTGTCAAATTTTCACTTCAAGTTAATCAGTGTTATAGGAATTATCTGGTTCTATGATCTAAGGTCGGGAATGAAGATAAATATATTGACGTAAAAGCACATAAAAAAATCTTATATACCTTCTCTCTAAGTTGAGGAGTTCAGAGCCTCGTATGTCATGACGAATGAAGGATTCCTGGTACTCTGTCAGCTGAAGGGTGTCCAGCCATACACCAACTTCCTCCGGGCCCCATTCTCTGACTTCCCTTTCGAACCCTCCTCGACGGCCCTCTCTCTTTAGCTTCAGTTTAAATATCCCTTTTGAATGGACCCTTTTCCGGTCTCCCTATAAAGAGAGAGATCCATGGAACAGGTTTATTAATCACTATAAGCACACCATCTAAAATCACACACATCAATTAAAATTAAATAACTGCTGTGCATCAATTAAAATCACATATATCAAAACTGGCAAACTACGTGCTCCAGCCTTCCTAACCTAACCTAACCATCAGTGTTCGGTAATGCTAGGGTATAAATACTGTGCTAGAAAGTAGTGTGTTAAACTGTTGCAGAAGTTAAAAAAAAAATAAATAAAATTCAGCTGCTTCATACTGTCCTATGCAATAATCAGGCCAGTAAAGTGAAAAAAAAAATTATTGTGAGGTTAATTTACATTCTTGATAATAATAGCTAACACCCACCCACCCACTAACAGACAAACAAAGACTTACCTCATCATCAGCGACAAAGTGCATTACGCTGTCTTTCTCATGCGCATATTTCAATACATTATCAAGATGTGCCAGTGGTCCTTGAAGATTTTCCTCCATTGCTTTGTTTATTTCCTGTAAGACAAAAAAAAAAGGAAAAAGGAAAAAGAAAAGTAGAAATCTGTTGCAAATATGACATCTATTTTTTCCTCAAGTAAACCTAAATAATATGACATAACAAAGATATTATTATATAATTACCTAGAACAACATTACAATATACAGCAATAAAATATAATCAAAACATATAAGAGGGAAAAGTGTATTCATCGAGCCATTTGAGAATATATGAAAGTTCCCACTACAGTGAATGTTTGTTGGGAATGATGAATGTGGAATATGTTCATGACAGACATCATTCTTTATTATATGCATCAGTTCTCATCAAAATACTTTCTTTGAAGGATGCAGAACAGACAGTTACAATCTACAATACTAAGCAACATTTATTGACAGAAACTTACCAAAGATTCGTCCTTCAGCATGCTGGAAACTTCTGTATGTAGATTACGTACATTATTTACCAACTCCGTAGCTAACATTCGTAAATTAGGCTGTGGGAGAGAGAAGTATTTCTTATATAACTCAAAATGTCTTCATTCCCACTACAATATTTACAGCCTTTAGATATATGAAAATACATTAAATCCCATCTTTAAACTTACAACAAAAGCTAAACCAACAAACAAAAAGAAATAAAATAGCAAAATAAGTCACAGTACAGTACGTACTATTCTATAATAATAATACTGTATTAATTAACATAAAACATGAAATCAATTTGCTATGACTAAACAGCAATCTATAAGTAGTCTGTTCATCATTCTGGATACAAAAATTAAGCACGGCCCATATTTTCTCACATGGGCTTGCGATTGGCTACTCATGATAAAATCTCCCACTGTCGTTAATACCGTATAGACGCATTACCCTAAGCTTACACTCTCAATTATTCTTCCATCACGCCAGATCTTCTCTAAACAGGTGGTGGCCGACGAGGCTAATTCTCCAAGCAGATTCTCCACAGAAGGGGTGTTGACTGCTGCCATACGAACACAGCTGATGATGTCTGCAACCTGGAGGAATATAAACAAAGTATTAGCACTCTTATTTCAACAGTTGTTTCATGGTCAGTGCACTTATGGAATACAATCCATTACCTTCATCAAGCTACACACTTTATTCATAAAACTTCTTGTCCTCTAACATCTTTCCATCAACTCACAATTCTCAACTATTATCACACAGCTAAATCATATAATTTAAATTTTCTTTATTTGTGATAGACTAGTTAAGACAAGGTTGAATGGCAGTTAATTAGTTATATTGGCCATCATAGTGCACTCTGTCCAGGGACTGATTCAGAACTCTTTAGAGGTGGAGTTACCAAACTTCCATTGCCAAACACACAATTATTAATACTCGGTTCTGTTAAAAAAAAGGGTTTACTAAGTGGCTTCAGTACTGCACTTATAAAAAAATAGTAATGGTCACTGTTTAAAGAGGAATCAGATCTGTCACTGCTGTCATGTCTAAATCCTATAAAACATAAATGTCCAAATCAGGAAGTCATAAAAAATAAGTCATTGGAATATCCTTACTGTAGAAGCGAGTGAGGCGAGGACAGGCAACTCCTCATCAGCCAGTAGAGTTAACTGTTCGGTCTGGCTTCCACTACTGCGCTGTTTCTCCTCCCAAGCCTTAAGCGACACCTCTAAGTCCTGATAATGACAAACGGGAATTACTGTAATAAGTTTTTGCTGCTTAAAATCGTAAAAGTTATATTGTAGAAGTTTAATTTGTACATTAGACTAGAGAGACTTGTAATAAGAGTGTACAGGAATGAGGTAAATTAAAGGGGATTTACTGTACAATAGATAACATAGCAGCCTACCATAACAATGTTGGCTTATACACTGATACACCATCTCTGTTAAGTGTGGTACTGGATGAGTTTCTGATGTTGCAAGTAAAAAAACTCCTCTGTTTGGTTACATTTTGTATTCTCACAATTTCTAGTGTTGTAGTTAGTAAACAACCATTCTATAGTTTAATTACAGTACTTACACTAAATCCTATACCACAATTAAGTTCAAATTAAGTTAACAAAATGGAGAAATAGATAGCTGTACAGCCAATTTAATCTTTCCTATCTAATTGTTAAGAATCTACAAGGTTTCACTGTGCCTGTACTCTGTTAGAACAAACTGTAATAACAACAAAGGTACATCAATAGGAGTAGTAAGTGTAAATGTAGCAAATTCTCATAAATTTAAGCCCATGGTTCATTATGTATAGCTTACCCGACTTCTGCAGAGCATCTGAACTCTGTTTTTATGAACAATACGAACTATTCCTGGCGGCTGGGTCCATGCCTCACCATCAACCTGGATTGGCACACCTTCTTCACCTGTAAACAGTACAACTGGCTTAGGAGCTAACTGTTACCAATTTGGAACTTATCTGAGTACAAACAAATGCAACAATCTTCCAATACTTATTTCAGTACTCAATACAATCTTGGAAAACTGATATTCATGGAGCTAAGAGCCAACCACTTTCTGTGCTCTTCATATTTCTATACAGTAATTCTCTAATACCCATTTTACCATTTAATATATCACATTACCTGCCTCGCCAAGGATTGTGATCTTGATGCTGGAGCACTGAGCTATCCGATGATGCTGTAAGTTGATAATACGAGAAGCTGCCATCTGTGCAGACCCAAACACAGCCACAACTTCAAGGATTCTGTCATCAAAACTTGGTGCTAGGAAACAGTCGTCCTCTTTGGTTCCTCCCCAAAAGTTGGTGCCTCCCATGAAACTATAACAAAACACAGAACAGATCAAAGATGGAAAAATCGACATGACAAAAACTTACCAAATTTATCAGAGATGAATATATTTTGGCAGGTTGGATGAACCAAGGAACAACAGATAAATACAGACTGAAAACTAATACAGGTTGACAATCCCTTCTCCGAAATCCTTGGGACCAGAGGCATTTCGGAATTTTTCGGTTTTCAGAATGTTTAGTTTTTTGTGTGTGTGTGTGTGTGTGTGTGTGTGTGTGTTAGCCCATCCGGGCACAAGTCACTGACCCACACTGGGGCCTGGGGGCGAAAATATAATAATAATAATAATAATAATAATAATAATAATAATAATAATAATAATAATAATAATAATAATAATAATAATAATACAGGTAATAATAATAATTCATAGGTCTAGGTCATGTTACTCACTTTTTATTTTTTTTTCATTCTTGTATTTATTATTATTATTTTATTAATACAGTATTATTGTTATCATTATTATTTTATTTTGGTGTATTTTTTTATTAAATTTTTTATTTATTATGAATAATGACAGGTATTATTATAATTATTATTATTGTTATTAATACAGTGACCCCTCCATTAACGAACTCAATCCGTTCCAGAAGGTCGTTCGTTAACCGAAACCATTGTTTCAATGGGTTTTTGGGTAATTGGTTCCAGCTCACCGAAAATTTCCTAAATTCAACAAAAATGGTAGAAAAGTTCACTTACTTTGAGGTGTGTATGTAGAAGGCTCCTGGATGATGATGATGATGATGATGATGATGATGATGATGATGATGATGGGATTTAGAATGGGGTGGAGGAGAAGGAAGAAGAGAAGGCATTGGGGTGGAAGAGAAGTCACCCCATGGCACCATTTCACCCATAAAATTTTAGCTCTCTGGTGTAATTCAAGATTATTTTCTTTAAATCAACACTGCACTGCATTATATATTGTCAATATGTAAAATATATTTCAAAATGACCAATAATTTGCTTGGAAACACAGAAAAAAGCGTTTAGTTGAAGAGAGTCTCAAGCAAGATGTTACCTCCAGTGAAAACACTAACTCCTATTTGCTGTGTTAAGAGGCTGGATGCCGCGCATTAAACTAGTCACTTTACCTTCAATAATGTTCAATAATTGTTGAAATGACTAAAAAATTGAATATTAAACTTTTAAAATTATTGAATAGTATAAACTTCTTGATATTTACTAAAATAGTAAGGAATTTAAGCCCTAGAACCAATTAATGTATTGGCGGACTGATACTAAAGCTGGTTGCCCGGTCAGTGCAAGCGAAAACATGTTGAGGTCGGTTCGTAAGAACTTCGTTAACCGAATTTTTTTTCGTTAACCGAATTGAAGATCCTTATGGAAGGCAGTTCGTTAATCGAAATTACGTTAACCGAGGTGTTCGTTAAACGAGGGGTCACTGTATTATAATTAGTATTACTATTACATTTTCACCCCCCAGGCCCCAATGTGGGTCAGTGATCTATGCCTGGGTGGGTTAAGCCATGTAAAAAAAAAAAAAAAAAAAACCTTTCGGTTTTCAGAGCTTTTCGGTTTTCGGAATTTCGGATAAAGGGTTGTCAACCTGTATAATCATGTGATAACTAGGACTGTAGTATCTGAAGAAGGCTAAACTAAGGTACTGGCAAATGAATCCAACACAATAGAAAAATATATACACAAATCTCCCTTACAATATATTCAAGACCCACCTGGGAATATTAAGTACAACTATCCCCTGCAGTGACGGCAAGGGAATCCGTTCTCCGTCACATTCCAGCTGTACACGTTGATCCAGGTTCTTGTAGGTCTTCTTTAGTGTGAAAAACCATACAATTTTGAGTAAATATTTCTTACAGAATACAAGACACCTCTTAATACTTTACCCCCTCATACTGGGAGAGGAGAAGTAGGACCAGGTGTTTCATGAGGCTTATGTGGAGGTGTGGAGGGTTTGGGAAGCCATTTATATATTATTTTATTTCGCTTAAATCTCTCCCTCCCTTTCTCTCTGTACACAACCATAGATATCTAAGTATCCCTAACTTAATGTAGATTTACTATAATGCAATTGATTTGACCAACAGTTCAACGAATTCACTTTTATGGAACAGTAGGTTTGACAAATATAAATTTTTATATATTTTTTCTCTTCTCAGTTGTGTAAATATGGTACAAGTCTGCTTGTATCCCATCTCCTGGCAGATTCACTCCCCCTCCAACCCTTAATATGCTGCCTCTTCCTTTATCTCCTGGAGGCGATAAAACCATGGTTAGGTTAGGTTAAGTTTATACTCAACTGGTGATGAAATGTCCTAGAACTCAATATCGTTTATATACTCACACACAGCCACTCCTTTGAAGCTAGAACACCATACCACATGAAGTTCTTGGTTCTTGATCGACATTTCTCAGGGTGTTCTTCTCTCTTGTTGTGAAAGTCCAATGTAATTTTTGCATCAATTCCAATACCAAAATAGTTGTTCATAGTGCACCTTTCATCATATCCTTCTCTGTAAGGTGAGGGCAAAAATCAGAAGAAGGAAAAATGAATCTATTAGTGGCAAGTTAATTTGGAAATAGGTTCTTATAGATCTTCATCCTCATGGGTAGGTTAGGTGTGGGGGGCCAATTTAACATGATAAAACAAATATTTGAACTACAATATCTGAGAATGGTTAAAGATAGACTAAATTTGTGCCAGTTGAAAGACAGTAGGCAGGCAGGAAGACAGGTGGGTGGGTGGGCAACATACAAAGAGGAGTCATCAAGATCCATGAGGGGCGAGGCAGCAGCACAGAGAGCGTCAGCATTGGCCAGGAGCACCTTGCTGATAAGGCCGCCAGAGCTCGCACCAGCAGCTATATCTGTAATGTCAACAGAGTATTACATGCTATATCAGTGTATTGTACCTCAACAACAACAAAGAAGTATATTTGTATGAAGAATCAAATATGTTACAACTATCCAAATTTTTTAAGCTAACACACATTACATGGATTATTTACATTCATTTGTTAACTTTATGGTGTTAATGACTTAAAAATAAATTAAACATCAAAGTCAGATTTTTTTTAAATGCAACCAATTCCTGATGTCTCGAGTACATCTATGAATTAAGTACTGTAATAATAATTATGCATAGTAATATACTGATACATACTAACGAACACACACAGACATACATACAAATATACAGAGTCACACACAACAGACAGAGAAGGCTGTAGACATCTTAGGTCAATTAGTGTATCTTGCAATTACAGTATTTGTGTTAGTTTAAAATCTTCTAAATTAATACCAAAATAACCATTTATTCCCCCATTAAGTAAAGAAGGCATTAATGTGAGTACTAAATATATTACACTACTGTACATATATAGTCAACTGCAATTCTAATTTTCCTGCAAACAAAATCTGTAAGATAAGCAAGAGAGATAACTGATATTTATCTTTCCATATAAATTTATTTAAGTCAATGTCAACTGTAGCTCCTAGAAGGTGCAAAACATTAAAAAAAAATAAAAAAAAAAAGTCATAAGAATAATCAATATTATCAGGGAGTAAGTTTCCATATCATGCATGTAAATAATGTGTAAAGCACTCATGTTTATTGACTATGTGACTCAGTACAGTACTCATAGAACCTGGATCATGTCAGCATCAATCCTCAGTTGTTTTTATTACAGACTTTTATATGATAAAACCCTGGAGACATCTAGGAGTCTTCCATATCATCGTATAGGTTAGTACCGGTAGCGCAAATCACATAAGAATGGAGGAAACTGGAGCGGGCTTATTGGCCCATACTGGGCAGTCCCGTTTACACCCAACCCCTATCACTCATATATCCATCCAACCTATGTTTGAAGCTATCCAACGTATTCAAGTTAATGATGATGTTTGGTAACTTGTTCTACTCTTATTTCCAAACCACTGTTTACCTATCTCGCGCCTAAATCTAAATTTGTCTAATTTAAAACGATTGCAACGAGTTTGCTCCTGGTTGGATAGTTTGAGTGCCTTTGTTATATCACCTTTGTTTAGCCGACTTTCATTTATACACCTCGATCATATCTCCCCTCACACTACCACGTCTCTCAAGGGAATGCAGATTAAGATGCTTTTACCTGTCTCTGTACTCAAGGTTCCTAAATGCCCGGGATTAGTCTCGTCATTCTCCTCTGAATTCTTTCAAGGGATTCTATATCCATTCTGGGAAGTTTAGGCTATGCTTTGAGTAAAAGATAAACTATGTGGCTCCCACTATCTTTCAAACTCATTTACCGATGTCCAGAAGAACAGTAATTATTTCTTCAGTAAGTAAGAACAAGACATCAACAAGCCTGAACACATATACATACATCTTTCCTAACTTGACCAAAACGTTAAGGAACTCATTCACCAGAAAACAGTATTTTAGTTAACCTTTCAATTCACTGTATTAAAGACTAAAAGCATACATAATTATTAGTAGCCATTATCAACACATTCCACAAGTGAACAACCTTAAGCAAAGCAGTATATGACCAGCCACCTGCAACAATAAATCCTCTAGTCTAATGCCAAATCTTTTAACCACTTGTAATGGGATTAATCTGAACACCATTTCCATTCAACATACAGTAGGTTCTCACTTAAACTTTTAGGGAAAGAAGGTTTACAAAAACTTAACACCAGTTGCCATAGTTAACACAGTTCCTTTGGTTCTGATCCTGTTGATTTTAGCGGCCATTATACAAATCATTCCAAACTGATATTAGAGTTACAGTATACTGAACTTTACACATCCCACACGGTAACACTATTTAACACATGTTCTCTTCTACCTTAAGGGTGTAATGATTTGGCATCACTATATAAGGTTTGTTCTGGTTTACTAGTTCATTTAGTTCATTCCAGCTAGCGACTGAAGTTTACGGTTACAACAAACATTAAAACGAAAATGGACAGCACAGTATGGTATGTTTACATGCTAACTATAATGGTAAATAAAAATAATGTACTGTACTTCTGTATCTATGAAGCTTAACTACCATGGCAGGTTTAATGGAGGTTCCATACACCCTCTGAGTCTGCTGTCTCTTGTATAAAAAAGTAAATTTGCAGAAAGTTCTGTACAAATATACTATATTGGACAAGTTTTTTTCAATACAAATTTTAAATACTGTAATTCCTTACAGGCTATGTGTATGAAGTTCTACTTGCATTACTGTTTTTAACATAAGACCGTCAAAAGTAGTAAAGATAAGTTATATACTGTAGTGGGCTGATATGTGATAATTCTTCATTGGTGTTGACTCAGAGTTGAGTCAACACCAATGTAGAATTATCACATATCTCTTATTCTTACGGTCATCCTAATCCAGGCTATACTGTATTCCTAGCAAGAGTAAAATTAATATTTATCACACTCTTTAAAGGTACAGTAATCATCGTATCATCTTGAAATCCAGGCTCCAGTTTACCAATATTTTACAAGATAATAAAACTGTAATCTTAAAATATGGTGAATCTTAAATCTATGAAGATGACAACCACAAAATCATATTTATATTAGGTATTTAATAACTGATATCTCTTTCGGGTCAGTGATTGAGACATTCCATTGTGAGGGAATTCAGAGTCATTACTGTGACTCTGCAGGTGGAAGTATGTAAACTGCAGAGATCCAAAGCAAAATACAAAAGGAATTAAATGTGGGCTTCCATGCAGCAATGACTGACCCAGTGTCCCACTTGGGATATCAGACTATGTGCAACACTATAGTGGCCTCTTAATTCATGGTCAACATACTTGGCCACATGGGTAGTGAGACAAGTGGATTGATGATAGGGAGGTGTTTGCGAGATGATCGAGCAGCTGCAGAACCCCTAGCTAACCCTCGGCTGCCTGACCCTCGCCCTCCACGCTCAGGACTTCTGCTCTTGTCCCGTCCAGAGGTGGAGGAGGCCACGCTCAAAGTGGAGATGCGGCCTCCTTGGTTTTTTAGGGTCGAGCCTGAAGAGATGCGCCGCGAAGCTGACGGAGAACGGGGGACTATGAGGGAGGATGATGAAATGGGGTGAAAACTGTCACGATAAAAGGATGAGGAAAACTGAGGATGATATTACTGACGCCATACAGGGACAGACAGATGGTCACACAAGTCTGGAGTGATGAGGGTAAGAAAAGTGTGAATATGGTAGACTTATGATTTGGGAAAAGTTATATGAAAATGCTTGACGAGGAGGAGGAGAAAGGGCTACAATTTTAACTGGACACCATATACTGACTGATACTGAAGATAAGAGAATAAATGTCATTCCTGTAGCAGACAATTCACTGGCCATGTGAAGAAAGGGAACAAGTAAACCTGATAAAAATAACAGAGTACAAGTTGTGATTCCTAAGATCACAAGGCAACATTGATACATTCAGAAGCATCAAGCAACTGGAAGATATGAAATAAGGTTGTCGCACAGACCTCAATAGCTTTGTAACCACTTGAGAGAGAGTGGGTACAGTGGGACAGTGAGCCCGGATAACACAGAAAGATTTATAAGCCAGTGAGCAAGGCAGGGCCGGATTCAGGAGTGGGCAAAGTGGGCAGCTGCCCAGGGGCCTCTACAATCTGGGGGCCTCCACGTATTACAATATTTTATCTATTTGTTTATTCATTTGGATTATTTTTATTTTCATTCTTTAAAATTCATGTTTATCTATTCCATCACATAAAACTATGTTCAGCAAGAAGTGTGATAGAAATTAGGCTAGCTACTCCTTGAAATTCATGAATACCTGGTTTTCCTATGAACTGTATATTTTCAATATTTTTAATATAACTGCATATGGCTTCAAAATTCTCCAAAGAAGTGTTCAAATTTCAAAATTTTCCCGGGGGGCTTACAGCGCCCCCCGGAACTCCCACATCCTTAGGCTCGCTTCACTCGCCATCCCACCCTCTTGGATAGTTATAATGAGGGGGGCCTCCACAAAGAGGCTGCCCATGGGCCTCCACAGGTCTAAATCCGGCACTGGAGCAAGGTCATAGTGAGGAAACAATGAAGCTCGAATTAAGTTATCTGAACGAAAATTTGAAGAAGTACAGCCAGAATGAGAGCAAAATGATGAAGCTGCTTATGGTGCCAAAAACCAACTATCATTACCAGCAGCAACATCCCTTGTCTGATGGAAAAGATAGGTCAAGCTCTTCCTGACTTATGATAGTACAGTGTTTTCCACGTTCTGATGCGCGTGATGAAGAACTGGTGATGTAGGAAAAAGACGAGATAATGTAAAATGAGTTGGTAAACAGTTTCAAGAAAGTGACAATGATTTGTGATCAGAGGACTAGGCTAGTCTCACTACCTGAGCTAGGAGGATGAGGAGGCTGCTCTTTGTGAGGAAAAAGCGTGAAAAGAGTGACAAAATAGGCACTACTGTGTAACAAAACTACTCATTAAAAAAGATATCACCATCTAATGCCTGCCTTTATTCTGTCAAGCCCAAGAATCAAATTTACAATCAAGAAAATATTCTACTGATGATTTGTCTTCACAATGTGTTAATACACTCTTACTTCTTAAGCTTAATGATAACAGTATAGTGGTAAAAGACCTTTGGACAATGTCAGCAGCCCAAATTAAGGAAAAAATCTTGATCGACTTAAAATAATAAAATATTTTGACAATCTGGAAATTCAATGATCATACTGGTGACCTTGAGTTTACGGCAGACATCGGATGGTGTAAATACGTGTGAAGGAAAAGTAGTATATACAGTACAGTATAGTCTGCATTTACGCGATCAATTGAACCCGTGGAGGTCCGCGTAAAACGAGAAATGCGTAAACGAAATAACAAAACATATGGGATTAATTGAAATAGAGACTGGGCTGACCCCCAAACTCCACTTTTTCCGACACAATACATACCTTGTAGTAAAAATAACATCTTAATTTTATGATGGTATGCACACACAATTAATATTTAAGAGAAATATCAATAATATTAGGTTTTTTAACACTCACGTTAGTAGAAAAGATGGGTCGGCACACGTGGATGGCAGCTGGTTCCGAGGCAGAGGGCAGATTAGTTGTCCTCCGGTGAATCACTTTCACTACTCGCAGAGGTTTGCAGGGCCTCCCAGACAAACCCCTCAAAGTCCATATCCTCACTGTCACTATCACTGACTTGGGCTGGCTGTGGTTGTGGTTGCGGGCGAAGAAGTCCTTAATACTACGTTGACGACTAGCATTGATGATGTCGAGATAGATCTTGATATACGGCTCCATAACTTTCATCAGATGGTTTTTAGACACTTCATACCGATGGTTGTCTGGGTCGTTGTCAAGGATGAGCTTAATTTTCTCCCCCAACTCGATGATTTCCTTCACATAATCATGGCTTGGGCAAAGTAATTCAAGGTTTTTCTCGGGTGGTGGGGGTCCAGCGGAAGCCATTGTGAGGGGAATAGCGGGCACAAGAGAGAACTGTATACGCGGACTGAGAACAATGAGACTGGCCCGGCTAGGTCAGCGACTTCTGGTGGCAGGGCACGTCATGTTACATTAGACCAATCACAGCTAGCGGCGGAGGGAATGCGTGGGTGGTAAGGATGCGTGGCCCAATCACAGTCCAATACGTCATATGATGTCAGCTATAACGTAAGAGCGACCTAATGCGCACCCCTCAACGCGCCGCTTCCCACGTATGGTCAAGAATGGACCGCGTGAGTAAAAAATGGCGCTGCGCGTTTGGACCTCTCCAGCCGCTTGCCGCGTAAATAATGATATTTATCGCGTAATTAAAACATTTAATTCTGGCAAGGCACCGCGTAAATGACCAAACGCGTAAACAAAAACCGCGTAAATCCAGACTATACTGTAATACAAAGGCAAACAGTGAATCATTATAAATATTAAAAAATGTGATGTGTAATGGTGTAAGAAGGCAAGGTAGCCAATATTAGGATATTACTATGAATAACACAGCCAAACTATTCATTATTCTTTAAAGCAGAAAACCATCCCAACCTAATAATTCTACAGCAGTTTTCATTATCTTAGGTTGGGTTTGGTCGATTCCTTTCACCTGAAAAACATGTAAGATTGACCCTGAAATCCTTTTACATAACCAGACACGACATGAATAAGACACTCAAGTACTGCATCAACTACTGCAGCCTGTTGATTTGACTGTAAGGTTCCTAGATCACTCAACTTGTCTACTGGAGAAACTTTCCCAAAACTTAGAAAATCAACTAACAACTAAAAGTAGTATCTCTCCTGGGTCAACCTTAACTCCTTAAAACAGGTAGTGCTGATTATATAGCTGGAGTGGTACAATGATTCACTGGGTGAGCCAACTCTTGTGGGACAATGCAATAAATGTCATCGTATACAGTAACATCCTATCACACCCACCCGCGCCATCACTTCCAGCCTCAATCATATGGGATGGGTTGATTATAAATTTACATAAGACTGAGCAACACTCCCCATCCTCAGCCACCTTATGTGATTGTTATTATTCCCTCTTAGACATCATATATAGGAAATCTTATGAGCTTAAGTTATATGTAAACTAAAGAGATAATAACTGTCAAACAATGTGCCTTGCTGAGGGTCCAGTCTGTAGTTGAGTTGGGGGACATGCTACCAAGTTCTCTAATTATGTTGCTCTCTTTCTGGAATGTTGTCTCAGTCACACAAGTAGAAATGTTCCTGAAAATTCTGTTGTCAAATCAGGAAGGCTGTTGATGCAGCACCTAAATTATCTGATCTGCTGTGTCAGTTTCATAATTTGTGCTGAGTTCCCATTCAGGATAATATTTTAACACGAATGAATTTGCTTAATTAATGGGTGTGTTCATTCAAGCATTCAGGGTGCATAAGCAACTAGGTTTGGAAGATTACAAAAACATCATATTCAAATTTTATCCTGATCTGATAGGTGTATCTTAGGGGCATTTTAGGTCATGGCTCTGAATGTCTAAGTAAAATCACCAAATACAAAAATTTACAGAAAGATGAAACACATACACACAAAAAATAACCAAATGTAGAACTGAAAGATTTGAGAAACAGATAAAATAAATTTCCTCTATACTATTTCACATGACAGAAAAATTAATGAATATTTTTTTTTAACAATTGGTAAAAAAAATTCTATGCCATACTTGATAATTCCAACATAACCTGAAAATTATATATATCAAATCATAATCACTAAATCTTAACCCAGGAAGACCATGTACAGTATGTGATAAGAACAGTCCAACATGGAATAAACAAACAACATGCCAGAATAACAAGAGAATAAAAATGAGAAAGAAAGAAAAAAAAATTAGTTAATGTACATGAAAATCTGTTACAAATGCACTACCAACACCTCACAGACTTATATAACAATGAGCAACACTAAACATTTTGCTACAGACATGAATTAGGGAATAAAAACTGAAATGTACTGAGATGCATTAAAGTAACACAGACCATAAACCTACATACTAAAGGAAACAAAAAGATATCAGTAAATAGCTAAAAATTTGTAAATGACATAAATAGGAAGAATTGGTAAAAGGTGACAAATGTAAATAAAAGTTAAAAGTACTGTAACCCCACAACAAGATAATAGTCAAGCTAAATGAGAGATGTTCATAAATACCATTACACTTAATACACTAATTAAACAGAATAACATCAGGTAAAATACTTTGAGAGAGTGACTGAGGGGAGAGTCCATGTGTCCATATTTAATCCCACAAGAGGAAGGACTTGAAGCAGTGGACATTTTATATTTATTGGAGGATGTGACAAAGTGATTATTCTAGGGTTTGAACAACATTGTGATAATGGACCAATACGGTGGGCAGTTGGCAACACAATTTAAAAGAGAGTTGTAAAAAAATGTAATATTTTAATGGACAAAGGCAAACCTAAAGGCATATACAGTATATATACAATATTAATGCATAAAGGCACATGGCAAGCCTAACACACCAAACGTATAATGTAAATGCAAGCGAGACCTTCTGTAGGTAGTATTTGTTTATTAAGAACTTCACTATGTATGTTGATAAAGAATGGTAAGAAACAACAGTCATGAGATATTAAAAACTTCACAAATCTTAATATAAACAGTCAAGAGAAATACCTGATGCTAACGTTTCAGTATCTTAAGCTTCTCTATCTCTGACATCCATTACTCTAACACTTAACACTTACATTCAAAATTGCATGCACTGATATATATATATATATATATATATATATATATATATATATATATATATATATATATATATATATATATATATATATATATATATATATATATATATATATATATATATATATATATATATGTTACATATGCATACTGCTACAAATGTACACACACATACAAACATACATACACATATGCATGCATACATGCATGTACAAACACACATGGAGGCAAACACAATCACATCATTCATCATTGAACAAGAAAGACTGTCTAGGAGCTTCACTGTATTTCATCACAAAGGTTTGTTACAGTACAGTACAGACAATCACTGAGAGGTGACACAAATACATACTCTGTACTGTACTCTAAAGATGGGTTGTAGGTCAAGTGGTTCCTAGTGCTAATAGGCCCCATCTTAAACTAACCACTGGGGCCTCTTAGGATTGGATTCCCTTAAGATTGGGCTATTAAGACTGGGTCCCAATCTTTGTAGTTTAGTTAGGTTGGGGTGAAGGCTACACTACAAGTAAGGGGGGATGGACACCTAAGAAAGTGTAATTTGCATGAATGAATGGAGTGTGGGATGCCAGGGTGTGTATATTCACGTGCTGTTTCCAAGTGGCAGCAAGTTATAAACTGTAAGGAATGAATTCAAAGATCCATGCTAAAAGGTTTTGGGTCATGTGAACAGTTCTGGGGGTTGGTCCTGGTGGCCCATAGAGTTGTGCCTCTTTAAAAGTACCACCAGATGGTGAGTGAGGTTCTGCCTTTGTTAAACACTGACTCACTGATGCTGCCTCAGGACACAGTCAAACCACTAGTCAAGGCAGAGTCTGTCAGAGTGTTCAGTGTATGGTAACCTCAAGGGTCACTCAACAAATTAGTGATAAGCAATAACACAAAAAAAATGTTATATTTATGGAACACATATCTATAAAATGTACTTTCAGTGGTGCAAAAATAAAGAAAAATATAATTAAAAGACATCAAGGGCAAAGACAGAATTACAGGTACTTTACAGGTCTGTTTGGGAACCAGTGTACTCCGAGCAGAGGTGTCTACCCCTATTAAGTCTGGGAATAAAGTGGCTTGTTGTTGTGGTCCCAAGTTGTGGCCAAAACAAGTGACTAAAGGGACTCTCTCTACTGACTTTACAATAACCTGAGATCTAATGTTTCAAATGACAACTTCTGTTTCTAAGACTTTTTCTCTAAGGATCTGGTTACCCCTGAGGCTTAGCAAGCTGAATAAACTGGGTCCCCAGGATGGTCATAATGTAAAAAATAAGAACAATGTAATAATAATAATAATATCTGTGAATAATGTACTGCAAAGCATAAAAGATAATAAGTGAATTTCCAATGGACTGAGTATAGAATTACAGTACAGTACTTGATATCTATCACAAACAAGTTTCACATAATTGTAGTATTTCAACTTGCTATATCATTTATTCCTATTACTGCACAAGGTAATTTCTACAATGCTACCAATAATAAATTTCAAGCCAATTCTCTAACAGCATAAAATAAAGTTAAAAACTTCTCTCTCAAAATTATAAAAATATAGTATACTGTACATGCAACTTTCTTGGATGGCTACTGTAGTATTCATTTTACATAATTCAAAATAGATGAAAGTGTTACTCACAGTCCTCACCTTTCTCTTCCTCTTCATCTTCAGTCCCAGCCTCAGCTCCCTCCACAATTCGCTCTGAGGGTGGTGGCATCAATTCAACTTCCAATTCCTTATCGATACTTTCAGAGATCTCTTCTTGAGCCAAGGGAACATCTGGCGTGTGTATATCATCGTGCGACTCTTCTCCAGTAGGCTCTTCTCTGTGAGGTAATGACCCTTCCCATTCATATCTGCTAACAAAATTCACTCCATCTTTATCATCTGTGACAATGTCTTCTATAACACTTGTGTCACCCTCAGGTGTTGTGTCATCAGCAACACCATCATCATCTTCATCATCATCTTTAGCTTCATATTTGTGTGTTTCTTTTACCGTTTCATCTGTTTCATCACTGTCCAATGTTTCAGTTTTCTCTTTATCTTCTTCACCTTCACTCTCCTCTGCTTCCTCCTTTATGCAAACTTTTTCTTCATCCACATTATCTTCTTTGTTCGCCTCCTCCTCCTCTGCTTGTGCCCATTCCTCATCAATGTCAATGGAGTTATTTAATGAATTTGCTAAAGAATCCCTAATTTCCGTTATAGATTTTTCCTCAAATGTATACGGTTCATCTTCGCCAACGTCCACCAGGTTGTCTGTGGACGACTGTATACGAACTTCAATGTCCTCAATGGGAATGGGGCACCTATCACCGGCCGCATCTCTGTTCTCCTGCATGCTGTTCTTCCTCGAGAGATCTGCAAACTCCCTGGGTACGGGTAAAGTAGGTGGGAACTCAAATTCGCCGTGACTCTCTCTACGGATATCGGGGAGGGGTGAAATGGCTTGGTAATTTACACTTAGCTGATCACTGGGGTCGTCCACATTGGAACTAACAGGAAGTGAAATAGTTCCAGGAATTTGAAGGAATGTAGATGAGGATGAGTCAATTTGGTGACTGGGAATGGAGATGGAATATTTGGCATGGGAAGAGGAAGTACCTGGGAGAGGAGAAGCAGGTGGGAGAGGGAAGTTAGTGGTAATAGAGGACACGAAGGGTGGTATGGCCGCCATAGGAGTGGGGGAAGGACACGGTGACACCTCTGCAGATGAACCCTCTATGGTGGGGAGGACCTGCAAGAATATGAAGAAAAAAATAATACACTAACAGCCGTGAAATAACAATGCTTTACCTCTATGATCAACACAACACAATATTTTAAAGAAGAATATTTACAGTAATAATAAACTCCCGTATTTTACATATTAACATCAATTTATATCTAAACTTCATGGAATCCCATCAACTTGCAGAATTATACTGCATCTCTATAACATTTTGAAGAACCCTGTACTGTACACCTTTCATATAATATTGATATAACATGTATGGTATTATTATGTAACAACGTATGACTCACACCCTTGTATCCGTTAATATATTTTCAACATTATTTCAGCCTTTTACAGTTTAAAATTACAAAAAATTGTGAACAAGTTATTAAAAAAATTAACTCTAACTACAGCCGTCTGAACTTATACCTGGTGCAGTGACTGGTTCATTTTGTGAGATGGGGCAACTGTGTGTTTGCATACCACATTAAACTCCCGGAATGGCCCTGAAGAATCTCGTAATTGTAGCCAGACTAAGGATGCTAGATAAACATTCCACAGAGTTGCCACATCTTACAAAATGTACCAGCCACTGCATCAGGTATAAATGCATGAAACTGTACATCTGACGGTGACAATACCACCCGGGTTTCACACACCGTATACAGTACTTCTAAAAGTTACCGGTAAGTCTTAAATAAACATACATTGCACTGTACTTCTAGGTGGTGAGCATGACTGTACCTGTAGTCCTGAACATGACATTATTTGTTTCCTAACTTTCTCCTCTCCCATGTCCTCTGATGCCTCTAATGTTATGGTTGGTGGGGGAAGACGAGTAGCTGTTTGGGCATTTTGGTCGTCCACTGCTTTCTCTGTGTGTTCTATAATCTCTCTTACAGCTTTCTTCAGACTGTTAGCTCTGGACATCAAGGCATCCCTCTCTATGAAGCATTTCTGTAAGTAAAATTAAAACAGTTTGAGTAATTCTGTAGCAACTTTTTTCTTACATTAATTGCAAAGACTTGCATTACTCAACTGTTAACAGCTATTCCTACCTCAGTCTTTACAAGTACAAGCTGACCTACACATACAAAATATATGCAGAGTCACTCAAAAAACTATCTTCACTGGGGGGGGGGGGGTCGATGAATGTCAGAATAAACCCTGCGACTCCTGTTGTCTCGGTAAGGTTGGCATAATCGTTCGTCCAGTGTGTCTCATTGTCAAATGTAATTTTTTTAAGGTTAGTCTTTTGAGCAACTGTATCGTACATGTCACGTGCCTCTAGATTTATAGGGAAAAATCTTACCCGTTTCGTTCTTTTCCTGTGTTGGATATTAGAAGCATTTTTATTCTCTTTGCACAAGCTGCCCTTATCTACAGTATCAAGATCCTCGCTCGTTTCTGGACTCTGAAATGGGAATAAACACAATGAAACTATCTTAGGAGAATGATAATGATCTTTTTATACTAACCGCTCAGCCAAAACACCAAGCAAGCATAACAAAAACACTAATTCATGAGCTTATCTGCAGAGGTACGGTATTGGGCTCATTGTAAGCAAATCTGTTCTCTAAGTGAAGAGTTACATGTCCTTTATGTGTTAGATAGACAGATCATATACACTACCTCATCTACAACTGATGAACTTTCGGGTGTTGCAGAACTAGCAGAAGACACGGATGCTATGCTCTCCTCATGTAGTGCTCGCAGAAGTAGGTCCAGTTTATCATTCAACACGGCACATTTAGCTGACAGGGAGTCCTCTATCACCTGTGTGTCTGTACTCTCAGTTGTGTGTGATCCTTCCCCCCAGCTCCTGCCCACTTTCATTATTAATGACTTGATTGTCTCACACAACACTCTGCAAGAGACAAATTATTCAGTTTTATTATTTTCTATACTAAGAAAGGAATAAAACAGACACACTAACAAAATTTGTATAGAAATGGCTGGACAAGCACTAGGTAGACTTAAGAATACTACTACTAATAAAACATATCCACATGAAGCAGTCCTTGATCCTTGTCTCAGAGTAAAAAAAAAAAAAGAGATTTGATTATTCAAAATATACAGTAGTATACTGTAACCAACTTACTTTGCAGATGATATAACAACGGAATGTTGGTTTGACTGAAGCAGAGTCGCTAGATGAGCACCGACTGAATCTTCATAAGCAGCCACTTGAGAGAGCAGGGAATGCGAGGTAAACGACTCCAGTTTGTGTTCAGGACTCAGCGATACATGACTCACGTAACTCATTATGCTCCATCTGGAAGGAGATTTTGTAAGTGAGCACCTCCGAACGATGACTCAATCTAGCATTCATTTAAGTAAGTGTTCTAAATCAATGTGGAAATTAAAACAATGGATACTCCTGCTGGCAAGTCTGTAGTTCCTTCACAGGACCATTTGTGGGCAGAAAATGGTTTATCTATGACTTCATTAGCAAGTGTTTTGTTTACATGCTTCTGACCAGGTAATACTGTTGGATCATTTCTCATTATGGGCTCTCCCTAGACTCACCTATCGAGCATTTTAGTCGTCGCCCTCTCATACTTCTCCAATATGTGAGGAAGGTGAGTATCATCGTCACACGCAGAGCCCCAGCCAAGCACCCGAGCTAGATCATTACCCGTGCCCAGTGGCAGCACACCAATCTGGCACTGATTCTGTTAATGAAATAACCACACAGATAAATAAATACTTTATATAAACAAATACATAAATGACTAGTTGAGTAAAAAAATTTAGTCTAACAAATATGTTAAGAAATACAATGCATTTACCTACACGACCAATTATGCATTTATCAAAATTCGTGTTAACTTAATTTCTTATTTAAATTTGCTAATACATGAATAACTATGTATTTTTGCTTCCACAGTAAAGAATGAGAGAACTCCAGATGAATAGATTTCCTCAGAATGAATCAATTTATGCTTTACAATATCTTACAGTTCAAGTTAAATGGTTACTCCTCATTACCTCAAACACAACTTGTACCAACTATCAACAGCCACGGTTTAATGTTCACACTTTGAGGAAGTAACATCGGAGTGAAGGTAACTTACTGTCATGTGCAGTTGGTCAATCTCTGACAGGACCCATCCCACCGAACCATCCCCACTGCATATCAATATTCTGAATGGGTTGAAACACTTGAAGAGACGCAGCCTGGAATAAGAAGGATGATAAAACCCACAGAAAAAATTATATGGTCTATAATCGACTTAATCGAGAATAAAATTAACGGTACTCACCCTAGTACTGGTCCACCGTTCATCAAATCAAACACCTGTGCCGGGTTAAGGAGTTGCTTGAACCGCCGCAGGAACCTCACACCTTGATTGTCACCACTCTTGCTGTTGACGAACACTAAGAGTGGCGAGCAGCCCTGAGGTCTGGTCGCTTCCCATGACTCGTCCGTCCCTGTGACAACACTTACTATGTTACACCGAGATAGATAGATAGATAGGATACTGTACTGGAATACAACAACAACATCATACTGGGTAGTAATAATAATAACAACAATAATAATACAGTAGAGACATATTCAGTAAAATAAAAATAATGAAATGCCAAACAAAGATTAATGTACCTGGTAGTTTAAAAAAAAGTAAACACCTTCCAAGACCCAATGTTTTTTTTATTGTGTGTAAAGTAAAAATAAAATGCAAGTAATGGATTGTATTGTACCTATTGTGGTGAGTGCGGTTGGCGGGACGATGGAGACGCGGCAAGGACCCAGTGGACAGCGGGTGGGGTGAAGTGGTCGACATGCAGTGTGGACCATCGCTCGACACCATAAACATCGCCAGTCCTGCAGCCTGTAGGGAGTATGAGATGTGGGGAGTGGGGGTATGAGAGGGCATTAATGTGCTAACACTTTCCTAACTCGCAGCACATAAGTCATTAACAAATATTTCCTAACTCATCTCAATCAATTACAACCCCCCCCCCCCACCATGACTATCAACTTCTGATTGTAACAGCATCACTAAAAATAACATAGAGACAGAGGGAGAAGGGAGAGACATAAAGAAAGGAAGGAAGGAGAGAGAGAGAGGAGCTCTCTCACCACAATACAATACATCACTTGTCCTCACTCACCTGAGAACAGAACCACAAGTCTTTTCACATACAGCACACTTGGCAGACACAGGTAAGTTCCCTTCCACCCACTGATGAGGCATTGCCAGGATCTGCGTAAAATAAAAATAAATAAACAAATAAATAAATAAATAAATAAAAAGTATATTTCTATTTCATTAATCATTTCACCACTTATCAGCTTACGTGTACACCCTAAGCTTCTTGCATAAGTCAGTTACTGTACCCCAAATTAAGCCAATACAAGGTCTAAGAAGTATATTAACTAACTATGTGATGGTAGTATCATTCACAAGTACACATGGAACAGGGGGTGTATAACCTCCCTATTAAAAGGCCAAAGTATAATTCTAATAAGCATCTAATATGAATTCCATTAAAAAAGTACTGTAATAGTGAAGGTAAAAAAGATATAGAGTACTGTACATAAATGATAAAATAATAAAACAATAAAATAATAATAATGTGCTGCAGGGTAAAAGTATTATCCCTGATGCAGCTGTACGCCACTATGTGTCCGAGATGAACAAAACACTCCTGGCCACCAACAGTGTATAGTATAGATTTACACTTGCTGGCGGGTAAAACATTAGTGTACAGTATACTTTACATAACCTCACTTCATACCTGTGAGGGATTTCCTAAACGTGCATACAGTTTTGCTTTCTACATAATAAACGCCCCTAGTTCTGTCTATTTCACTTTATATACAGAAAGTTTATAAACAGAGGAATAGGTTTACTGTAGTGATACAAGCAACAGCCTTCAAAACTCACCCCTTCTTCATCTTCAATGATGTCCTTCCCAACCGAGGCTAAGGTGGTCCACTTACAGTTATTGAGCGCCTTGGCTGCACATCGCTTATGGGCCTTCAACTTACAGACCTCACAGCTTAATCCATGAGATGTTACTCCTGTTACCAGAAAAATAATCTTGGTTAGGGTTTACTCTTCAAAGACAGCACTGAAAATGATCCTCTGTATCTACTTTAAATAATAACAAATATAAGAAAGTTTATAATGTACAAATACTAAAATTAAATCATGTTGTGAAAAAGAATCATCACCTCAAAGGGAATACATCAAAAACACATCCAAAAAATCTCTTCCCAAACTGAAGGAACATTAAAATCTGGAACCGTTCTTAACCTCGACAGCCAGAACAGATCATTTCAAAAGTAACTAAAACAAATATATTCTTTAACTAATCAAAACAAGTCCTCTATCCTATCAGCATCTACACCTCATAATAAATACTGTACTAATATAACAATGCCTAAAGAGTTTAAGATATATCTGGCCTGGGTTATATACTATCTACAAAATAGAAACTCATCGACCTATATCATTATCCTCCCATTAGTGTTGTTATTTTGGTATATAAAAAGTACGGATTTTATTATAGGAAATTGAACCTAGTTAAGGGAAAAATAGAGGTATAATAGGTGAATGGAGACACAGACAGACAGATAAAGGACCCATGGTTAATCATTACAACAAGTCAGACAGTTCAATAAAGAAAATCATGACTTGAAGCTTTTCCCTTTAATGTTCTATTCACAAGAAAATCCAGATATAAACCTCCTCTTTTAACACTATATAACTTTTACCAAACAAACTACGTCCTTTATATCTTTAGCCAATAATAGGTCAAGACTTTATCTCCTTCAAAGCAAAATCCTGTAACAGTCTGACACACACACACCTGAGAGGGCCTCCCGGCAAACGTTACAGTAGGTGGGTCGCGCATGGGAGGTGGCATACCAGTTGTGTTGCCCTGATAATAGAGAGTGGACTTGGTCTGCTCCCTGTGAGGTGAAAAAGCACAAAAACAGAAATAATTATACAGCTTTTGCTAATGATCATATCGTAATAGACTTAGAAGGGTTTTAGTCTATAATTATAACTCTATTTGTAGCACAGTATAGTTAAAACCTTATATAACTGTTAATTACACTGTTCTGTGCTACATGTGGCTGTGTTGTTATTACTCACTGTGGCTACTGCACTGTGAACATTGAGGCAACATTGTAGTGAGTATGTGTATAATGTTCTATAACTGTGCTACCAAATGTCTATAACAATGCTGAAAGGCGAGTAAAAATCTCTCTAGACATAAAGATCAGAGACACTGTAGTCAAGAGTGAAGCGACATAGAGTACTGTACCTCATAGTAATGTGTGGTGGTGTTGGCCGACTTCAGAGCTGTAATCCACTCCTCCATCTCGCGGCGAGTCTCAGCAGCCAGTACCAGACTTCGGAAAGGGGTAATGCACTGCAGGAAACAATTGGACTTTTGTGTAATTTCATTCAACATGATATTGTAAAAGGAAAACTATCAAATAAATAAATATAATCAACACGTAAGAATGAAACTACTGTATGTATACTCCCCAGCCTGAGGACTAAGCTATATAATAAGAGGAAATATTAAAATGATGGTGGTTCTCTGAGGGTTAACTTGATGTTGATAAATCCTGCTTTTGATGCTAACCTTACCGAGAAAACATAATATAACTGAGATTATAATCCTCCACACAACACAACTCAGGGTCATCCTCCACACAACACCAGTAGGCAACATCATCAGTTAGAGAAGACAAACACAAGGAAGTTAATTCACCAAGGCCTTATGAGGGAGGGATGGTAGAAGGCTTGTATTGGGTGTGAGGGGGGGGGGAGGGGGAGGGTTGGAAAGAGGCACCTTATTACCTGTTGGCCTCCAGGTAGTGCCTCACCTCTGACTTTATACGCAGGGCCAGCTACAGCATTACGCAACACCGCCCGGATCTCTTATTACCTGTCACCCGAGAACTATTCCCTAATTGTGAAAGAGGTGAGGGCGGGAGGGGGGGTGTGAGGGATGATGTGGGTGATGGAGGGTGATGGAGGGGGGTGAGGTGGAGTGCCAATCATCCACCACCCACAGAAAACGTCAAGCACAACACCAGTCATCAGATAAATAAACACAAGACAAAAGACGATCAACCACACTGTTTCCAATCGTCTATAATGACAAAATGGGAAGGAATCAAACACCAAGAAGAAGGATTTAGTGGACCGATGTGCTGTCAGTTTGTCACGGTGGACGGTCAGTCGGTGAAGGTATAAACAAAGAGTATAGCAGTGTGTTGACGAGGAGAGAAGCTGAGAGCACGACACGAGATACTGTGCACACACATCCACCACTCCACCATCCACTATCTTGCTAATAGACCTCACCCCTCTCCCTCCTACCACCCACCCGCTCCCCCTTCCTCCCCCTACCCTCCACTACCCCTCTCTTCTTCCCTCCACACCCTTCACTACCCCTCTTCCCCACCCTCCTCTACCCCCCTTCCTCCTCCCTCTCCCTATCCTCCACTAACCCCCTTCCTCCTCCTCTACCCCTCCCCCTTCCTGCCCCTCTAACCCCTTCCTCCTCTCACCCCTTCCTGCCCCCCTCTAACCCCTTCCTCTCCCTCTCACCCCCTTCCTGCCCCTCTAAACCTCTCTCCCTCCCCCACCCCCTTCCTGCCCTCTACCCTCCCCCAGGCCACAGCATGGTAAGCATATCTGGGTCATGTCACAATACACAGGAGGTAGCCACTGTTTATCATGAGGGTCTGCTGGTGGTTACAAGAGAGGGAGGGGGGAGAGAGACGGGGGAGAGGGAGGGGGTTCTCTTCATACACATATTCATAGATTCACTATACCATACTCACTCACTCACTCACTCAATCCCACTTTCCCACTCACTCCCTCCCACACTCACTCACTCCCTCCCACACTCACTCACACCCACATTAACTCATCCACGCTCACTCCCACTCTCCCCCACTCACCTGGAAACTGTGGTTAATGTTCTTTGTGCTACACTCGGCCACGCTTAAATCGGTCAGGTGAATCTCGTCAAATATCACGCTCTGTAACACCAAGACACAGAGATCAAATGTAATTTATATGTAAGTTCCTCTCAGTGTAAACAACAACATAATATTTATAACAACAGCAGCAATAATAATAATAATAATAATAATAATAATAATAATAATAATAATAATAATAATAATAATAATAATGACAACAACAACAGTAACAATAATAACAGCAACAACAATAATATTAACAGCAATAACAACAAAATGAATAAAACTAAAGACCCTAGAATCAATAAATAACTCATAAATCACCCCGCCTTCAGAATTGAGACGCCTTGGACTTGTAACAATTGACGAGAGAGAGAGAGAGAGAGAGAGAGAGAGACACACACAACTTCTCAGGTTTTTTACAACAAATTCTTTCCTCATGAACGCGGGAACAGCGAGGGAGGGGTCAGAGCCTAAAAACTTATTCATTCTAAGATAAAATAAATAATTAAAAATTAAAATACCTCTCCCAAAAATAAATAAATAAATTCTAAATGCCTTCATTCGACATCTATGCGGGTTTGTTATTGTTATGTTGCCTCAGGTAAGATAATTAAATACCAGAGTTCAATTCAATTTCAATTTCAATTGTTTATTCCTTGATAGAGGAAGCGGGATCCTAGTGCTGTCACTAGGTACCCCTGTACAATGACACCAGAAGCATCTGGCAAGTGTGACAAGTATATACAGTATAAATATTATAAAGGGGCTTACTAAAGCCTAAGGAAGGAAGGATATTCCTTTAACACACAAGTTTCGACGACCTTATACAATTTTAATTGACGTTAAGACCGAGTTAATACTTGACGGGGAACTAAACTCACTTACGACGCGGTATTAAATCACCTGGAAATCACCTGGAGGGGAGGAAAGGAGGAGCCTAACTTCACCTGGGGGAGGATAGGAGCCTAACTTCACCTGGGGGAGGAAAGGAGGAGTCTAACTTCACGTGGGGGAGGAAAGGAGGAGCCTAACTTCACCTGGAGGAGGGAGGACACACACACACTCACCTGTCGAGGATTCAATCAATGGGCGAGAATTGTATTTGGCGGGGAGTTAGGCGCCACGCTCTCTTAACTGTATTAAGGGAACACAAGGACACACCACCGCCGCCACCACTGAACCATCGTCACTACTGAGGTGTGATCACGAAGGAACAACAATAAACAACAACAACAACAACTATCAATAACTTTGGTACAACTCCTGCTATTAATATTATAATTCTTACTACTACAACAACAATAACACTAAATGATAATAATAATAATAGTGTGGAGAGAGTTCATTACCCTACCACCATTCCCTACCACCAGCACCTCCTACCACCAGCACCTCCTACCACCAGCACCTCCTACCACCACCACCTCCTACCACCACCACTTCCTACTAACCGAGTCTCCACTCTTGGTTTAAACTGGAACCAAGGAGAGAGAGAGAGAGAGAGAGAGAGAACTAACACAAACACACAATTAGTTACGGTGAGACGAAGGGAAAGGGAAAGCCTCACACACAAGGAGTTAAGATGAGGGGAAGGGGTGAGGGCACACAAATAAGAGGAAAGGAAGGGAGAGGGAGGGGAGGGGGTGAGAGAAGGGGGAAGGAACACACTAGGAGCACCACTCAAATATTACAATTACAGGTGATCCAAAATGAAGCCCTAAGATTCGTCACAGGCGAAAGATACCCCTTCACCAGAACCACAGCCGAGATACATAGACCTGAGAATGAAACCCATCAACCAGCAGCTGCACACCCTGGCCAGCAGAATCTGGCAAAAGATAGAACGATCAGAGCAAGAACTCCTTCAAAGACTCCCACCAGATAACGACAACAACCATACATGGTTCCCAAAAAGTTACCAAATCTCAAAAGGTCCATTACCACCCCCGATCTACACGGCCAGGCAATAGACAACCTCCCTAGACCAGCATCCGCCAGTAGGGTCGGCGGAATATGAAATAAGGCCCTCAAAACACCCATGTATGGGACAGGGTAGGATGTCTAGTGCCTGTACCGACAGACAATAACTAACCCATGACACAACCCTAACACACTATTAGCTTAGCTAGGCGGTCAGCCCGCCCTCTCTTACCTCCTCCTAAATTTCTTCAATTTCCGAACTATAACTTCCTTCCCCCACCTCTAATCTTCTTTCACCTTCCTCTCTCTCTCTCTCTCAAAAAAAAAAAAAAAAAAAAAAAAAAGTTAAAATGAGGAAGAGGTGAGGACTGAAATGGGAGACCCTATAAATAAAGGAATGAGAGGAAGGAAGGAAGGAAGAAATGAAAGGAAAGAAAGGGAGAGGAAGGAAGAGGAAGAAAGAAAAATAAATAGATTACGGTTCAGCTCTGATACAGTAGGCGGCAGGAGAGTAAAAATAATACAATATCTATCGCCATGCTACTGCAAGTATATAGGACAAGTAATACTAAATCAATAGTGATGGTGGCTGGGGTGTGGGAAGGAGGGAGGGAGGGAGGCTGGGAGGGAGAGAGCTAGGAGGAGAGGAGCTAGGAGGGAGAGAGGCTGGAGAGAGAGGGCTGGGGAGGGGAGGGGGCTAGGGAGGGGGGAGGGAGGCTAGGAGGGAGGGGAGGCTAGGGAGGAGGCTACAGGAGAGAGGGAGGGAGGAGGGAGGCTGGGGAGGAGGCTAGGGAGAGGGGGAGGGAAAAGGAGGCTGGGAGGAGGGAGGCTGGGGAGGGAGGCTGGGGGAGGGAGCTGGGAGGGAGGGAGGAGGGGAGGGAGGCTGGAGGGAAGGGGGAGGGAAGGGAGGCTGCTGGGAGGGAGGGAGGCTGGGAGGGAGGAGGCTAGGAGGAGGGAGGCTGGGAGGGAGGGAGGCTAGGAGAGAGAGGTAGGAGGCTAGGAGAGGGAGGGAGGAGGAGGCTGGGAGAGAGGGAGGAGGCTGGGAGGGAGGGAGGGAGGAGGGAGGGAGGGAGGAGGAGGGTGGGAGGGAGGGAGGCGGCTGGGAGAGGAGGGAGGGAGGGCTGGGAGGGAGGCTAGGAGAGGGACAGAGGGAGGGAGGGACGCTAGGAGAGAGGGAGGGAGGGAGGGAGGCTAGGAGGGAGGGAGGGAGGCTTGGAGGGAGGCTTGGAGGGACTGTATCGAGCGGTAGGGGGTCTGGAGAAAGCGGGCCAGGGCGTAAAAGGTGAGGTTGAGTTGGGCGAAGTCACATCAAGTTGGATCACATTAGGTCAAGTTGGGTCACAATAGGTCAAGTGGGGTCACAATAGGTCAAGTGGGGGTCACAATAGGTCAAGGTGGGTTAGGTTAGATCAAGTTGAAATGGGTTAGGTCAAGCTGAGTTAGGTTAAGTTAGATTAGGTCAGGCTAGGCTAAGCTAGGTTAGGTTGGGTCATGTTAGGTTAGGTTAGGCTTTCAGACGAGACGGACAGTGAGACATTGTGGTTTTCTCTCCCCTCCTTCACCCCCTCCCTCACCTGGCACCATGGTAGAAGAACCTGTAGGGTAGTGAGAGGGCCACCTGATTGAAATTTGACCTGTCCACTAACCATGGCCACCCACGAATGGCCAAACATACATTAAACACACGTCGAATGTTTCATAACCTAGTAAATATATATCTAGTAATATAATCGTCATCAATTAATAAAAACAAGAAATATTATAATACCTGAAGAAGAATTTGACGAGGTTATCAGAAAAAATATTAGCCCTACTTTATATATGAATTTAAATACATTACGGCACTAAGTCAAATCAATTAAAATCATCACCAAATTAACGAAATATTATTAGAAAAATATAAATCCTACAAAAAAATAAATAAAATAAATAAAAGGTTCAAATCAATGGACGATGGTTTAACACAATGTGTCCCTGGTACCCCGCCGCAGGTTTCAGCCACCGCTGGTCTATACCCTACTCTGTTCTGTGGTTCCCGGAATCATTAGAGGGGGAAAGGGGGAAGTCCTAACCAGCGTAACGGCCCTGGAAAGTTTTAATGGGCGCGGGGGGAGGGGAGGAAGCCACCATAACGCCCATCAACTTAACTTTACTTTACTTTACATTACTTTACTCACACACACACACACACACATTTAAAATCAGACCAAAAAAATCGTTATATAACGTTAGGGCCTCACTATAGGGCAGGAAGTAAATCTCAGCCTCACAATAAAGAACTCAATGGAAATCTCACTATAAATTTATAACCCAAACTCTACATACTTTCCCGCCAAAAAATAAAAAAATACCATAACTCATTCCTCTAAGGTAATATTTTAAAACTTTTCTTAGACGCAAATTAATTAAAAATACTTCCGTAATATTGTGGTGTTTCTGAACAGCATCTGTAGTTCTAATTTTATATTCCGGGTCCTTGAATTAAAGTTTAAATTAACCCGCCAAGCCGCCATGTTGAATAATACATGGCGCCCTCAGTCGGTGAACTCTGGAAACACAATTAACTTTCATTTGTTTTAAGGATCTCGGCTCTAATTAATTATTTGCCTCGTGAATAATTTATACCCAAGTCCTTATTACATACTTCTAATACAACCGATATAATGAATTTTAGTCTGTACATAAACAAATAAATAAATCTAAAATAAAAGAACATAAGAAAATAAGGAGTCTGCAATAGGCCGGTTGGCCTGTGCATGGCAGCTCCTGTCGAGAGTTACTACCACTCTCTATCATCCATGAATCTATCTAGCCTCCTTTTGAAATTTTCCAGAGTTCCAGCACTTTCTACAAAGTTGCTAAGCTTGTTCCACTCGTCCACCACCCTATTTGTGAACCAGTTTCTTCCTATCTCCCTCCTAAACCTAAACTTATCCAACTTGAATCCGTTGCTCCGAGTCCTATCCTGCTCGGATATTATAAGAACTTTATCTATATCCCCTTTATTGATTCCTTTCACCCACTTAAATACTTCTATCATATCTCCCCGCACTCTTCGTCTTTCTAGGGAATGCAAGTTAAGTTTCTTTAACCTATCCTGATATGGAAGGTTTCTAATCCCGGAATCATTTTTG